ACGACACACAAGAAGATGTGGAAGTTGAATCAGAAGAGGAAGATGGTGTCGCTCGCGCAGGAGTGAGATTCGCGGACACAGATGATGATGAGTCCAACACCGAAGGAATTGTAAGAAGCTACAGTGATGACAGCGTCGAAGTTGGAGCGAAACGGGTACTTCGCCCAAGACACAATCGATCCTACTTCTCACAAGGGGTAAAAATGAAACCCACTGAGAGATACAGAAGAGAGAAATCAAGATTTGGACAGGCATACCTGCAAAAAAGGAATCCGCCTGTGCCAAACGTTTAGAGAAACAGGTGTGCGATGAGAAGAAAAGCACGAATGAAAAGACTCCGAGTCTCGCTGTATCAAGCGATTAAGAAACGAAACTAAAACCGACCGAAAGAAAGAAGGCTGTAGATGCAATGATGCTACTTGCCGAAAAGAATGATGGCGTGACAATCAAAGGGCGGTGTGTATTCAAAGGTAACGAGACCCGGGATTGGTTGTCTCGTGAAAACACTGCAAGTCCCACAGCTTCGCATGAAGCTATTATCTGCACGGGTGTAATTGATGCCCATGAAGGTAGAAACATCATGTCAATGGATATACCTAATGCGTTTATCCAAACATTGATGCCCGAGCAGGAAGAAGGAGAAGATCGAGTAATAATGAAAATTACTGGGCTGCTGGTTGATTACATGATTGACCTAGATCCGACGTATCGGGATTTTGTAGTAATCGAAAATGGATGTCGAGTGATCTATGTTGTGATCCTCCGTGCTATTTATGGGATGTTACAGGCTTCGTTGTTATGGTACCAAAATCTGAGGGCATCACTGGAAGAATACGGATTTGTGTTTAATGTATACGATCCGTGCATTGCGAATATGATGGTCAACAAAAAGCAATTGACTATCAGGTTTCATGTTGATGATGTGCTAGCGAGCCACATGGAACAAAGAGTTCTTGAGGATTTCTTTACATGGATAAATGAGAGATACGGAGGACTAAAGGAAATGACTTGCACACGTGGACGAGTTCACACCTACCTGGGAATGACATTGGATTATTCAAAGAAAGGCAAGCTGAAGATTCGAATGGACGATTATGTTCAAAGAATGCTCGATGAGTTTTCTGTCAAGTTTAAAGTGGATGACAAACAGGAAACACCTGCTGGCAATAATTTGCTAGAGGTAGGAAAAGGAAAACTATTGGATAAAGATCAACAGACCGAGTTTCCATCGGAAAAGAAAGTCTGGTCCTATTGGTCGGCTTGCTCATGTCACATTAGGACATGGCTTGGTCTGCTTATGTCACGTGGCCATGTGATTTTATCGCAGCCATTCGACTGGAACCTTTTCATATTTATTTTTGCCTCTGTGCTAATGTCACCTTTGCCGTGTGAAAAAATCACCTACTACTTGTCATTTTGGGACAGGGTCTAGCCACCATCAACCATGCACTGAAAGTCTCAATACCACCTTCACCCTGTCATTTTTGCATTGCCAGCATCATCTATTGTC